AGAAGAAGATTACTATGATATTGTAATGCGCCACATATGCACGAGGAGCCAGCTTTTTTTTTATAAAGAATCTTTGTACCTGTTGTGTTTGAACATCAATCTATTGATGAGACATACGATATCACGACCATGATTGAAATGAGTGAACCATACATAAATGACGACCGGCGTTCCATCGCTGCTGGCAATTGCGAATTTCTTGTCGTCTGTCTTATGTCGGAAAAAATGAAAGGTCGATTATCAACATTCACTATTTTGGAGGGTACTCTTTTGTTAGCGTGACTAGGTACCCGGAGTGTATTTATTTATTTATTTTACTTACTGACATACGAAACTCAACTAAGAGAAATTAACAGTCGAATTCAATTAACTCTTAGTAGTAAATCTTATACTAATTATTATTAAAAATCAGTATAAAGTATATAAGGAGAAGTAAAGGAAAAAAAAAAAGAAATTAAAATAATAATTCATATGAAAATACATAACAACGAACAGAAGAAAAAAACATGTAGACAACTAGCACAGAGGCACGCCGATAACCAGTACAGAACCAAGTTGCAAATGAACAATTAAGCCATCCCAAACATGCAAAAGCTTTGCAACCGATAACAGTAAATGACACCAGTTAATTTTCGAATCATGATGAGATATTAAGATTGCAAGTTAGTTTAAACACGACATAGGCAATTCGCGCGTATTGAGCAAAGTTGTTTCGATAGACTTTAAAGAATCCGATATTGAGATTAAGTGACACACATCATCTAGATTTCTGTAAACTGCCCTAAAGGAGTTAAACAGCGCATAATTATATTTACATTGAGTCACCTTAATGCCCATAGATGCTATTAAGGACATTAAAGCTTATCTCACCAAGTAATGTGAACGATTCGATAGTACCATTAATTAACTTAATTTAAAAGGAGACCAAGACCGCCAAGAATAATGTATAAATTAAATAAAAGGGGTCCCATATGGTTGCCTTGATGAAGTTAAACAGAACCCTGAATAATCTGTTATGCAGATACGAGGTTATCCATTTCACTAAGAGGCAAGGAATTTGAAGATCAAGTTATGGCTAGTTAAACCATTTGCTAAAATCAGTACGTACAACATCCGTGCGAAAGCCATTGGAAAAAGCCTTGAAACATGGATAGTAAACTCTAAGAGATTCGTAACAAATGCTGGAATGGATGGATTTGATAGCAGAAAGTAAATGCTCTCAAACATTTTAGGGAAGACACTCAAGTTGACACTGCCTCTATAGTTCACAACGTGATGTTTATTTCCACATTTTTAAATTACAATAACGAAACTACTCTTCCAACACAAAGGGAAAACACCTGGTTTTAAGGACTGATTAAAAATCATCGAAATAACACCACGTAGCTCATCAAAGCATGATATGAGTATACATGATGGAATGCCATCAGCTTCAGGCACACAACTATATTCTAGAGACCTCAAACCATTTAAACCGTCGATTTTTCAAATGACCAAGTTAGAAATCAAAACCGAGTTAGTTGTCAGGTACGGATACTTAGCAATTAAATCGAAATTAGCAGTTAAACCATTTCGTCGGAAGTATTCACTAAAGAGATTCGAGATTTCAGCATCATCGAAGGACTCAGAGCCATTGAAAGAAACATGCGAGAGATATATAGAGATTTTTCTTTTGTAGTTGAGAAACTTAAAAAAATATTTAAGCTTCACAAGCAGTGAGGATTTTACCAACTAAAGATATCTGCAATAACAGTGGTGGTTGAAGTAACCAAATCTATCCCTTGCAGCGGAATAAGCAAAATAGTCGTAAGCAGAACCGTTTTTCGTAAATTGTTTGAAAAGTTTGTTTTTGCTATTTTGTAATATTTAATTGTCTGGTTAAACCCCGGCGGGCACCTGCTTCGAGGGTGATGTTGGTTGATCGGAACTGATGCAGAAATAGTTAGGTGTAATACATTATAGAACGAAGATCGTAAGGTTTCAATATTTTCAGCAGAGAAATCAAGCATAATGTGTGAAAAACGAGATTTAAGCAGTAAAATATTAGTTTTGTTAAAATCATAATATTTATTGGAGAAAGTTGGATGTGGGACGTTAGGGTAATTGTAATAAAAGCAAATACAAATTGCTGGATGATAACAATCTTCGAGCAAACTGAAAGGTGAACAGCGACTTATGATTATCTCTATAACACCAAGTGACTGGTCGCAAATTAAAATTCGCCGACGCTATGACTATATCAGTAGACTTAGACTTTTCAGACGCATCACAAATGTGGGCAGCATGTTTCTTATAAACAGAGATATCCACCTTGGGGGATATAGGAGCAAGTTACGTATAACTGTTTATTGACAATTTTCGTCAGAATGGCAACAAATTCAACGTCGGGAGGAGTAGGAAATTCAATTGAATAGGACAGTATTACAGCAAATATGGAAATTAAAAGACACGCTTCAAATTGACGGATGATAACTTTTTATGTTACCCACAGATGTGTCACGCGCCAGTCTTCACACGAACATTTTATTAGCGGTAATATCGGAAACGATAATGTTCTTTTGTAGCAAGAATAGAGCACTCACATGAGTTGACGAATCAGATTTAGGCGAAGATGAAGTACCACATGCCACACTCGGTCGGTCTTGTACAGATTGGGAGAGACTGCGAGATAACAACACTCATTAAACATTGACTTGGTTTTTTTAAAACTTCCCACAAAAATAACGAGATTATTGCATAGTTCAGAGATCCTAACCTTTGTCTCCGCGAACAACTTACAAAAGTCAATATCCCGCTTCCGACATTCAGGGGCCAACATATAACAAATCGTTCAGATTCCGGGCCCGTTTTTGTTCGGCATGATATAAAAAACACTCTATGTCAAAAAAAAAAAAAATGCAACAGATTGAAAGGAGAGGGATTGTAAAAAAAAAAACACAAACGGTTTGTCTCGCACACAAAAATTGGTATGTTGAACAGAGATGGACTAAGCCAATAGATTTGTGGCTTATATGTCCAAATAATAAATTGTGGCACACAAAAATTGTGTTTCAAATTAAACGTAAACTTCGCGCTGCTGAAGACGCAGTAAATAAGGAGGAAACCAAGAGAAAAAACTGTAAACACGCGAAAAAAAAAACAGGAAAGAGGCTTATTACGAAGAGCACAAGTGTTGATCTCAAAAACTAAAACAATCAATATAATTAAATTAATTAAACCATTTTTATACTTTATAATTAATTATTCTTTAAACACGTACAATGCTATATAGCAATAAGATAAGAAAAAGAAATTGCAAAATTTCTTCGCACAAAATAGAACAGTGCGAGTACAACGCGCGCGCAGAGTTGCCAAATCGTGTATAACAAAGATCTAATCTTAACGCATATGCATGAGTTTCACCTGTGGGGAATGACGGCGGAGCCTAAAGAATCGACTTATTATCTGAGACAATCAACAATATTTTACGTGTTTGTATGACCGTAAGGTGAATGCTTTCCAAAATTGCAAAATTTGTGACTTGAAAAATATCAATGTTAACATCTAGGAACCATAACTCACTGCCGACGAAACCAGACTTGGAGCCGTCGATGAAGATGTGAGAAAAATGTATCCATTTGGCGTTAATTAGGGTTAAGTAACGACGGTGTAATTGCAGATTTTTCTAAAGGCATGAATTTGATTACAGTTTGGAAGTTTTGATTACAGATTCATAAGGAACAAAATGTAGTTGTAAAATTTTAGAATGTTGAAATTATTAACCTTTGGATTTGGAAAAACGAATGGATTGAGCTCAACAGATGGTATATTGGAATAGTATATGCAGAGTGATGTGTTAGTAGGATGTTTGGATTTTTTGAAATAAACTAAACAATATGTTTTGCGAATATAAAATCCAGTTGAGGAGACGCTACGTTGTTAGAATTGTACATATTACCGGGCCGAATACCGGTCAGGGTGCGAACTGAAAACACTAAGATGGTCAGCATATCACGGCAAGGAAGAATCAATTAGTAATATTAACGTTATACAGTCTTTATTCTTTTGAATTTTCTTGAAATATGAATCAAATGATAAGATAAATGAAAAATTTGCTATATTTTTAACGAAAACCTTTAAAGACGATTATACCCCACGCTCAAGCGTATGTTCACATAAAAGCTATGCCTGGCTGCACTGATTTCTAAAGTTTTCAAATAATTTTTTCGCAATATAAAATTCTGTTTCTTCGATCAAGCGTACTTTTTACTTTGTATGAACTTACTCCATAGAGAGGAAAAGTAAATAATGCTAGCCGCAGATTTGGGTGATAATCTTCCATTTTTAAAAAAGCAACACATAAGAACATTATAGTCGAACAAGACCAACCACGAGATACTCTACACTGTTTCGCCCAGTGCACTCGTTTTGGTAGCAATGCACGAAAAACTACGTATGGCCTGTTCTAATGTTGGCTTAATTTAGCTCCTAAATGACTAATTAATTATAATTAATTTACTTCCTAAGTACTTTGTTATATTTCTATTTGCGTTACAAAAAAAATTAGAAATTAAATTTTCTCTTCATATAAGTGTTTGCTTTTTATAATAATCCCTAGATAAGTTAGGATCTAAAAGTTCGAACTAAATTATTATTAAGAACCAAATTTCATCATTAAATATTAAAAATTAAACCTTTTCTGAAGAGGTTGCTTTTCATGACAAATCTTATGTTGATTAGGATCCAACTAATAGACCCAATTTAATCCACTTAATTTTTTGTCAAATTATTATAGTCACAAATTTCATTATAAAACTTTAACAATTAGACAATTTTGGCATATAAAGGATAACATTTGCTGTGAATCTCTGTATGCGGTGGTATAAAAAACATATACCTACTTGGTTCAAATTCAGTAAGGTTAATTGCTTTGTCAATTTATTTTCACCATGAAATATTAAAGATTATAATCTTTTCCATATAAAAATTCAGTTCACATAGGAACGGTTACATGAGAGGGGGTTCAAAAAATTGCCTCAGCGGAACCAAATTTTTCATACCAATTTGGAATGTCGAAGTGCTATTACATAGCAAGAATTATTGCGACTTTTCAAAATACGGGGAGTGGTCAAAAAAGGGGACCGATGCGAACCGTTTCCAACAGTGTTCATTGTTGAATCAAAACACGTCAGTGTATCACATTTCATCAAAAAAACCTCAAAAATTGCGACCTGTAGCTGGAATGCAAGAATACATGATCAGAATTTATACGGACAGACAAGTGGGAGACTATATTAAATGGGGTATGTCTTCAAACCTTCTGAAAATGAAATACCACTTTAACATAAATTTTATCCAATATCACTAAACATTCAAATATTGGAAGATAAAATCGCACTATCATGTTTTTCTTTTAGACTTGTGGTGTCAAATTGTTGATAACGATATGGGATCAACAATTCGGAACGAAAGCGCTGAATACAATGATTGCATTTACATTTTGCATCGCGACAGTGGTGCAATACATTAACCAAGTTCAATACGCAGCTCACACTGCCCTACTGCAACAAAATCTTACTGTTTCGGCGCTACGGAATTTTCCCACAACCTGCATAGCGTCGTAAAATTTTCGTTTTGAGTTCTCTACATTTCTCTAGCTTTCCTAAGTTCATCTGAAAAATATAAAAATTGAATTTAATTATTTATATCTCGTTTATGTTATACTTACTAGATATGATTACTTCTTTGGATGAAACGGCACGAGTTTTTTCTTTTCATCTCTTAAGACGCACGCGAGCTAGCATCTGAAATGCCACAGTCTAATTATTATTGTTATTAATATAGCCAAAGAACTAAATTCTAAGACTAAAGTCTTAAAGCATTAGCATCTAAGGCATAGTCTACTTACTCTCAGTACCCGCCAGGTAAATTTCGGAACAACATTAGCATTTAATGACTATACAATAACAATACTATACGAAATAACATAATAACAACCGCACACCTTGCATAGAGCCTATATTTGATTACCGCACATTTAAGTTAAAGTGAAATTTCCCGGCTAGCAATAAGTTTTAAATAGAATCTTTTAACTTTCAACGCTTCTCCAAGCATATTAAAATTCTAAACCGAAAGCCTTTAAAATTTTGAAGGACGGGAAGGCGACAAAGAAAACTTATGTCTGCTTTGTTAATTGACTGCGCATCTACGAACTGACTGATTGATTTGACTTTCGAACCCAAACTGCCAGTAGCTATTAGAAAAATTTGATATTGAATTTGTTTTTCTAGACAAAGTCCTGCGATTGTAGTCATGACTTAAGCGGTACAATGAAGGGATTACAACGATTGTGCTGTTTGATATTGCATATAAGTTTAATTTGCAACACTGCCCTGCCACCGTCATTACCCGTATCGTCACTACTGCCAGTTAAACTGAATTGAAAGAGGAAGAAAGATTTCCGGGAAGTTCTTGTGTTAGGTCGAGGGAGAATATGTTAATGATTTACTATTATCAATTATTATTATTATCGGAACGCAGTTTCTGTCATCATTTCAACATCACATATCCCAAAATCGTAATCCGATTATAACTCCTCAACACTCTACTGCACTTGCTTGTCTCACTTTTTTTAGGCGTCAAAATGTAGGTTAAAAATACATTTGTCTATACGGTATTTCATAAATAATCCTTATAATGAAAAAAGAAATAAAAGTTATAATAATAATTGAGAAAATTATATTCGATCATGGCCAAATCTTTTTCTTTTGTACCCATCACCGTTATCCTAAAAAAGATAAAAAAGCAAAATAAATAGATTTTTATGCTCTATAATATGTAGTGGGTGCGGATTTTTCCTATTTTCAAAAAAAAAGTTTTTGTCGCATAGGCGTGTGGGCGTTGTAGACATGTCCTTGGAAAAGTTTAGGTTACTTTCAAATTCTTTTGCAAATTTAGAAACGATATTTCCATTTTCGCTAACGGGAGGATGTTTATCACAAATACTGTAAAGTTACGCCGACAGATAGATGGACATGTTTAGTTGCAATCTAAATTTGAAAGTGGCCAAAAATTTATATACTTTATGGGGTTTTTGAAGCTTATCTCTGCGCCTTATAAAGGTATAGAAAAACAAATCAAATTTTGATAAACTATTATATTGGGTAGACATAGTCAATTTTTTCCATTTTTATACAACTGCTATAGCATCGCCCACAGAATATGCATCCAAATTTTTGTACATTCATCTGCCATAGTTTATAAGTAATGAGCAAAAAACAATTTTTTATTCCTTTTGAATAACAAAGGTGTTCTCAGTTTACGTGGTTACGGTAGGCGTGTACTTCGCCTGATTTGGCCCATTTTCGATACCAACCCACTTCCAATGTTTGTGCTATATTTCAAGGCGACAACTTCACTGTTGCGGCCATGAGAATGTTCACATTATACAGGCAGACAGACAAACGTGTTTAAATCGGTTCTGTATTTTATATCGATCAGAAATATATATAATTTTGGGGTATCTAAAGTTTCCTTTTGGGCGTTGCAAATAATTTGGTAAAATGAATATACCTCTCAACCTTTGGTGATGGGTTTAAAAAAGAATTAGAGAACTTAAATAAACGGTGATATGTTCGAGCCGTGTATTTTGAAACTGGGCCAAGTGAATTTTCTAAAAAAATTATGACAGCTCTTGTCATATTGTATCGTAATTTCTAAGTTATCGTGAAGTTTTGATGCAAATCGCACCTATTATAGTACATGCTTGCATATATTTTGATCAGCAACATGTGGCGGTGAAAATGATAAAGTAATGAATAGTATGAATGTACATAACGGTTAAACTCGATGATTTTGACCTTTTTCTACATAAAATAACAGTTTTCTGTTTAGTATTATTGAGTTATGCAGTGTACAGAAGCCAATCGCAAAGCGCTCAAAATTGTATTTTCGACATTTATTATTTTTGTTATTTGATTTGAAAAAAACTGCTATCGAAGCTCATCAAAGACTTTTAAAAGCTTATGCTGATGCTGCTCTGTTATATTCCCCCTGTTGGATTTGGTTTTAACGGTTTAAAAGTGATGATTTTGATGTCGACGAGAAAGAACGCCCTGGAGTACCAAAAAAGCTGAAAGAACTTTCGAGCATCCTAACAATTTATGGATCAACTGACTGGTGTTGTGTATTACTAGCTGGCAAAATCGAATGAAACTGTCACTGTAGGCCACACGTTGCAAGATTTGAACGTTGCGAAAAATTTTGATTAATATATATATAACACTAATTTTTTTAAGTAAATGCCTTTTTTAAGTAAAAAATGATCAAAATATATGCAAGCTGATATTTAAAGACACTAAGATTTCGTATTCGTATTTTCTGCTTAATGAAATCTTAATACGATCATTTTAAAAGAGACTTAAGTCCTATTATGATAGTTTTAAGACAATGTGGACAATACTAAGAAATAGAATTTTGTGAAATCGCAACTTTGTGTATCTTATCATTGAATATATAATTTTAATATAACTTTAGCCTTAGTGAACTTAGTAGAACCACCCTGTTACCGATAATGCAAACGAATAAAATATATTATACAAGTAATGGACCGTACATATATAACGATATATGTATACTAACGGAGAAAAGTTAAACTAATTAAAAATATGTTGGATGACATTTTTGCAATTTTTGGACCATATGAAATGGTCTGTAAAATAACAATGAGTGAGGAAACAACATTCTGGATTTACTGCCATCAATTTACGAAAAAAGGAGACCAATCACAATGTTAAAATGTTATGCAAAACACAATTATTTTAAATCCTTCCCGCTCGGGCAACCTGGTGTCGAATAACTAAAAAAATCCTAAAACATTACTGATTGTAATATGACAATGCTATAATAGAAAATGAAATATGAAAATGAAAGTTGAATACTTTTTAATTTCATCAAATAAATGTGTATACATTTCAGGAATGGCGTAAGTCCATTTATAGCCATTAAAAGCAAATTATTTTTTTAAATCGTGTTAATTGTGCTAATTGGGTTGATAAATTATACACTCTTAATAACCAAAACACGTTGTTAGTACGTTATCAGTTACTAATTTTAAATTTATTAAAACGCAAAGCTTCAAATATCTTAATTTTAATATAAATAGACTTACACCACTTTAAAAAGGAACTGCTCACTTAATTCAATGTAATAAAATTAATTTTACATGGTTCCTAAATTATTCATCAATCTTTTTAAAGTTGTTATTCTGATTTTCGATGTAGATTTTTTTCTCGCTTGCTTAATTGAAAGTTTTAGATATATATAAAAAAGAGTGAATTTTATTGTGCGAAGAATACATTAAAACCTTATAGAAACTTACCCTCTCGGTGGCAAGTAAAGATGGTTACTGTTATTCTCTTATTCCTCTATGGACATTCGCATGACTTTCATCCGCAGTCGCTGCTCTATGCAGACGTGTGCGCAGTCATAACAATAATATGACTAGATCCTTTTTTTATGCTGCGTGAAATTAAATTGTTGATTGATTTTGAAGTTGAACTTTTAAGTATACTAAATTTCTTCAATTCATACTTTTATTATGAAGCTTTATTTTATATTCTTGTTGAAATTTTTTATTTCGTCTTGTTATTTACCTACCTTTTTTTCTTTTCTGTGCATTATTTTATTATATATACACTGACGATATCACAAATACTCCGTTAGAATTGTAACGAGCGCGAAATCGATACGAAAACAATCGAGTACCATCAACCCAAAAAACGAGCATATCGTACGATAATTCGATAACCAGAACCGTAAATTGACCTCTGCATTAGCAGCGTTTGAGTAAACATTTTCTCTTATTCAGATTTTTCTCATTTCGGTGAAATGCTTAGCATTAATCGTTTATGAATTTTCTGAGGGAAGATTCTTTACTTAGTTGGCACTTGAGGTGTTGCTGGCATTGTTATTACGAAATTGTGCTTTGCTCATTCGAGTCTGAAAAACAGAGATAAAAGTAGGGAGAGAATCACTTTTTTGAAATTGCTTCCATGCTCACATGAATATAAATGTAAACATTTTTAAAATTTTTTTCTCGGTTTCTTTGAGAGGAATTTCTTTGATTACTTGGCACTACTGGATCCTCTGGCACTTTGTTATTGTAAAATTTTGTTGTACTCGTGCCTTCAAAAAAAGAGAGAAAGAAAAAGAGAGAGAATAACTTTTTAACGATTGATTGAATATTCCATAAATATAAATCTGAACACTTTGAATTTTATTATTAATGCATAAACAACGAAATCTTTAGTCTCAAAAAAGACTTGTATATCAACAGAGGCATCAAAAAATTAAGGTACATATATTCGACTCTCCATTCTTACTCTCAATCAGACATCGGTGCCTTCCATAAGAACACAGCAAGTAAATTTTACTCTGTGAAAGTAAAAATAATTGTAAACAACAGATGGCGTTAACGTTATTGCATAAGTATGCATTTTAAAAACAGTTTGCTTTTTGTTGTTGGCTTGGTAACATTTAAAATCGGAAAAGAAAAGCTTTGATTAAAATATATTTTTCTTTTTGGACGATAAGGATGTGTAAATAAATATACGTTAATAAGAGCAATGTCGAGATAGTGTATTCCTTCATTGTATCTGTGTTTACAATAAGCAAAAACAAGAAAAAAAATTAGAAAACTATCAATTCTCTAAAATATTCCGAAAAGATCCTTAAATGTGCCTTGAAGTATTAAAAAGGAAAATATAATAAATACATTTAATTGAGAAAGCAAATCAGGTGAGCGCCTGAAGTCATCCCATCAAAGGGTAAAAATTAATGTTTTCCAAAATTAAATTCTAATAATAATCTGGTGTAAAAAGTGGAATTTTGCTTATTAAATAATTCAAAATATTTACTGCAGGGTACATTTTGGTTAGTATGACGTGACAATTATCATAAATATTAAAAATGTTCCTTATTGTTATTGTTATGTAGCTAACATATTTAGTTAACACGTTTTTACCATTTCCACTGTCGGATTTTGTCTTTAAATGTTTTAACGTGTATTTTTTTTTCCGTTTCGTTAGCAATATATTTATTGATACAGTAGTAAGTGTAGGATTCTATGATTAAGTTGGACAAATGTTAAAAAGATGTTAGTCTATATAAATAGTTAATTATAAATTTATTACACAATTACAACGCACTGGCTTAAAAATTAAATATCGGCAAACTTACAAAAATTGAAAACTTTCTTAAACCGGTTTTTTTCGTTGAAAATATCTCTTTAAAATAATATTTTAATTTATATATAGAGGCGTGCAAAGCCAGCAAAACTTTCAAAATATAGCAAAACTTTCAAAAAAATAAATACGTATACATATATATATGCATTTATGTATTATGTCCGCGATGATATATATGTGCATATACATGTGTGTAATCCACCTTATATAAATATAACTCACCATGCATACGCACACATCATTTCGCCCTCTCTCGAAGAATAATACAATTCTTTTATGTTAAATGTATCGTGCAGTCGCACTCACTTTCATTTATTTTTTTATTTCGTGCGGAATATAGACAGTTGGAAATCTCAGGTCTGCTCTTGTCTTACCGCGTAATTTTCTGTATATACAATGCCTATCCTAACTATTGGTTTGTTTGGTTTTTTATTCATTTTTTTTTGTTCTTGAAGTTAAAGAGTTGGCGTATAAATCCTCACATTTAATAATAGGTGTGTAAAAAAGATGTAAATTAATTTTACATTCTTTATATATTTAGATCAGCAATTTAGAGCTCAAGCCTCAGAAACCGATATATTAACCATAGCGAGTTCCGTATCTAAATAAGTGTGGAAGTAAAAAAACTCCCGATTTGGAATTGGAAATTGAATGAAGTGGGATTATGAATTAATAGAGTCACGCCCATCTATTCTGTTAACAGTTTAATAGTGATGTAATCGAAATCGCAAAGCTAAAAGCACAAATTCCAAAAAAAAGCTAGGTTTATAAATGTGTTGGAATTCGCTCCCACAAAGCTTCAGAGTAAATCTTAAATAAATTATTAAGAAAGAGATGACTAATGCGAAAAATTTAAGATCAAGTTTAAGGTTCCGAAAACATTTTCGAATTCTCAATTTTCAAAAAAAGTAATAAAAGCATTTTATTAATTTTGAATAAAGTGATTGATGAATTCTACACTGACTGGAGAAGTTTGAGATAAAGTTTTGAAGTATTTATTGTCATTTCAACAAACAGGTAGATATGGTCGATTGTTTTGATCAAGAAAAATATTGTATATGCCATATGACGTTGTCTCCGATTTGCCTTGTTTTGTGTTACAAAACTTAGCATATTTTTATTTGAATGGCATAGACGTTAAATTTGGATATCCACAGTGTAGGCAGATAATATCTGCCTTGAACTTTCAAATGATTTAAATAAATGTTTATACGCGATTTTTGTTTGCCCTGCTAAGTTCTATATTTATTAAACCTTAGAGAACAAAAAGAAAAGTCATTTACTTATCAAAGTTTAGTATCAGCAAAACTTGTCTGAAAAAATCTCCAAAAGTACTTTACTTATTATATAGGATGGCACTATGGATGGGTAATTTTTTACCCTTTTACTATTTCACTCCTCTAGTTTGTTTTTTGAGATTTGCACTATGTGCTGCTCCTACTCGTACGTTTTTGGCTCTAGATTTCCTGGATGAAAATGCAGTAAGTGACAAAAACGACAAAATGTTGAAAATCGACAAATCGTGAAGAAACAAAACCATGAAAAATGCAATCAGTTTTCAAAGCAAGGAGTATTCGCTTTTTTCTAGACAAAAAAGAAAAAAAAGAAGCGAATTCGAGATTCGACAAAAAACCGTATTCTAGTACTTGTTCAAGTTCTGTTTTATTTTTCGATTTTGTTGTCGTTTACTTTCGCATTTATTACCTTTTTTTTTTTTTTTTTTTTTGTTTTGATAAGAAAGAAGCGCAGCTGTATTTCTTTTATATGTTTCATTTACATATGTATGTGCTTATGGCGTGTTTTCTGTTACATATTTACATATGCAGAGATGTGTACGTAAATGCCTGCGTATATATTTGTTTCAATTGTTTTCAAGTAGGTCACTTATATTGTCTGGCGAAAAAGAAAAAAACGTCTAATTTTCTGTATTTTCCTTTTTGTTTAGTTAAATTGCCCATTGCTCAAGGTCAAGTGTAATGTTGAGATACGCACGCACAGACAGAATCTCATTTTTAAGACCAAAGGACCTTTAAATCTATACGTTTTTATGTATGAAATTTTATTAAATTGTAAATATACATGATATTGTTTTTTTGCGTACATACCCACAAGAAAAAAGGAGAAAAAACTTTTTTTACTTCCACAAATAGTTTAATAATTTTCGTATGTCAGAGAAAACTGATTTAATTATACATTTATATCAAGGCTCAGTATTATTAGAAGATGCATATTTTTTGAAAATAAATAAACAATATTAAAATGTGCTCCCTTTTAAGCATTTTTTATTTAGTTTATTTTTGTGTTTTTTTATAAATAAAACGGAAAAATAAATGCTGTTAATAATTAAAAAAAAAAAAAAAATAGTGAAACGTTTCAAATGAGATATATTGTCGGTTCTGGTCATTTTAATTATCTTTTCTAGCAGTATACCGAAAATTTTCAGGTCAAAATGTCTCCTGCAATACTTCGCCGGCTTCTTTTTTAACAACAGATGTTTTCAAACACATTTTAGTGCATCACCATCAAAATTTTCAAACAAACATGTTACAAAGTATTGCATCACATGTAAGGAATTTTTCATTATAGGATATCGCCAGCGTCAAAATCTGTTTTCAATATCTTCATGCTTTTGCTTTCCAAGAGGAAAGAAAAAACCGACTTCTTTTTTTTGAATGTGCCAAAAACTGCTGAGCAAAAGATGTTTGCTTTTTTAAAATGACACGTAACAAATTCATTTGAATTATCACTCAAGACTTTAGTCAGAGCCGCATTTTTAAAATATGGCATTAACAATTGACCGAAAATATGCGTTTCATGAGTACCCTTAAATTTAAGACGTCACTTGAGTTTCTCTTCTAATTTGCCCTTCTTCTCAGGCCGTTTCTAAAGTAGAAAAAATTAAAAGTGAAATGAGGGTAGGTATTAAAATTTGAGTTTGAAATTTTCGGGCTTTATTTTAAATTTCTTGCCGTGACTTGAGGGGTTTGTGACGGGATTATAACACGATCGCTATACGGTGCAAGATTTTCGAGTAAGAATGAATGCGTGAAATTTCACCGCAGATAGAGTTTTTACGCTTTTAATCATTATCGTAACACACGGCCGGACTGATAAAGATGTGAAATATAACTGTATTTAATAAAATCATTTCAGAGTAATCTTAAGCTAATAAAGCAGCATATAGTGTACAAGGCATCTAGGCAGCACCTTATCTATGTATATTAATAGCTGTTGTCAAAAAATTTCCGAATGTTTTTAATAAAAAACAAAATAATACCCGTCGCCATGTCAGATATATATAAGCTCTATTGTTTTCCCCTATTTATGAAGAACAGCCAGCTTCTATTCAGTTTCATTTATCAGTTTGGCTCAGCTGTTTCATTAAATCACCCAACAATAGATAAGGTTGTCGACCTAAACGCAATACAGTACAGTAACACAGCGACAATATAAAGCAAACATTAAAAGAACATAACAAAATAAAAATAATTTATACGCTTATGTGTGTAATTTGAAGATATATGTAGCGCCCTTTTATAAAAGTCTATAAATTGGGAAAGAAAATTAGAATAATTTAGACTTATCTCTTATGGATGGATTCATGTTTGGTTCTATAGAATGTAATCATTTAGTTGTTGCTTAAAGAGCGTTTTGTGCACCGATAAAATAACTTTTCACTTTTTATAATCGATATTTCTTATCACTGATAGCAGTGTCACATAGACTTTAAACAGTGAGAAACTGATAACGTCAAATTGTAAAACTTTATGTGACGTGCTTTATTTTTTCTTGTTTTTTTTTTTTTTGAATTTTTAGTTTTAAACGGGATACTGCTTCTAACGGCATTTTTACAACCTTTTGCTTTTTGTAACCTTTATTTCTCCGTTTGGTAATGTAACCAGGTGTTAAGTGTTTCCGTTTATATATATATTATATATTATATCTATATTGAAAATTATTGTCATGCAACGTCACTTAAATTGAATTAGAAACAATTTTCGAACTTTACACATTTAGCAAAATTTCTCCACGAAATCGTTAAAAAAAAAAAATGGATACATAGGAGTACATTGAAACCATGGTTTACGTTGCTGATTAATACCAAAAGGCGGAAACCGAAACTGATTTACATAATTGTTGACATATTATATATGTATATAAATAATTCCGCGGCGGTTTTCTCATTCTTTTACTGCTAGATTTTTCATTCGCTTATGAAGTTTATGTCAGCTAAAATTTATGCCGGCATCTAAAGCTTTCGGTGTTCGACACCATGGCGTATGTTTCTAAGACGAATGAAAGGAAAATCGATTTACTTTACTTTTCCAAACGATGCACCTGTAAATCAAAAAAAAAAAAGATTTTGGTGCGAAGCTTAAGTGCGGAAATCTTTTTGCGTAAAATGCTTTTGTGAAGTAAAATTCAATGATGATATATAATTTCTTTTTATTATGACTTTATGAGCATTTTGATTACGTTATGTTTGATAGTTTTCGGATGAAAGTTAACTTTAACTGTCATGCTATTTTTCAAGGTCTGCTGCCATCTTTGTTAGTTTACAACATTCTACGCTTACAATACCGAAATTTAACTAAACATTCTTACTGATAAAATGATTCTTATTAACATTCGATCGTACAAAATATATATAGTAAGTACACAGTCAAACATGGACATTCAATTTATTTTAAAGTTAGTTATGATATCCGAAATCTGGTTGAATATATTCTCTAAGGATATTTAGAAGACCATAATTTAATCGATATATGCAATGAATGCTATAGCATTTACGATAATGTAGATCAAATGTTCCAGCCAGGATGACATGAATGCTGTAGCATTTATATAAGAGAAAATATGAGAAAAAGGGACGATGAGAGAATCTGCTCTCTTTCTAATGTACAGAAATTTACCAATTTAACGAGTGCTTTGAGTAAATTTGTAAGGACTCAGAGAAAAATGATATGAAAAACCTAGAGAATCATTTAACCAATACTTCGGCAAATTATAATAATTAAAAACCCGCAGAGTTACATAATATTAGATGAAAAACAATTGTCCTTAAAATTTGAATGTTGTAGCACTCATGTTATTCAAGTCCGCGAACGTGTTAAGTAACGCGGTGTTCGTCTGTTTTATTAGTCGGTCGGTAAGTTCGGCTGGTACAATTGATGCAGTATAAAACGAGTTCTTTGTCAGTCGCTATCATAATCCAGCATTATGTAAAGTCGTGATATACAGTTTCGCTAAAATTTATGATCTCACTTGCCGCATTAAGTTCAGACAGAAAAGTAGGCGTGAGGTGTACATAGCTGCTGCCAAGCCTACAAAACGTGTTTACGTGTCGCAACACTATTTAAAATAAATTCCGGGTATCCTACGTGAGAGCTTTTATTTTATTTTAGTAATTTTTTCTCATCTAGACAGTGAAATAGGTCTGTGGTCTTCAAAATTGAAGTGAAAAGTGTTTTGTAATATTTTGCTGTAAAAATGGATTTTAGAGATAAATCGCAGTGTTTGTCATTTTTATAATAATATTAGAGGCACATCCAAAGAAAAGAGGAGACTAGTTCATTAGTTTCGACATCAGGAAGAACCGTAAAAAATTTATTGCCGTATGACTTGGTCGGACACAAAACCTCGTCATGAACGGTTTAGAGTCGCTAAAAATGTATTGAGAGACGGGGAGCGATTAAAAAAACTACTCTTACTTTCGATAATCGTAATAATAATTTTAGTAAAGCGAGATTCCTTCGGGTAGCCTAGAGGGACTTCCTCGTTGGTACGTTTTTAAGTGCCAATCTATGAAGAAATATAGCTCGGAAACTTGCTTTGCCCAGAAAAGCTGATTTGGAGAAGCGGAAAGACTTTGCTTTAGTTCATTGGAATTGTGGAAAGGTTGAGAAATATATTATGGAGTGACAAAATGAATACAAATTTTATTTGGGAATGATGCGAGAAGAAAAAAAACAGTGAAAAGTAGTGGAGAAAATCTTATGGTCTGAATCTGCGTTTCTTGGGAGGACGCCGGCCCGTTACATCTCATAGATAACACTAGACATAGATTTGCATATAAAAACTTGCTGGAAATTGTAACCCTAGCGTAACCTGAAGAAAACATGCCACTGCTGTCGAAACTTTAGAAAACATGAAAACGTCATTTCAGGAGCATAAATGTCATAGAATGGCTAAGTCAGGCTCTTAGCATTAATCCTATTGTAAATTTTTGGGGAGAGACACACACCTATTTTATGTCCATCTGTGTACATCGTTTTGATCGCACTTAGTGTCCGTAATCAGTCCGTAATATTCCTATGTTCAGTTCATTCATTCATCAATTCATTTATTATTTAGTTGATTATATGATATAATTTCAAAAAAAAGCGCACAATCTTTTCGAAACATTGCTAAAGTAATATAAAAATGATGCAAAGCGAGGCTTTAATGTATTGAATCATAGTTATTAGTATCATATTCGGGGAATGTTTTATTTAATTTGTCAATTACTGCCAGTTAACATCGTACCGAGAGAAAAACTTATTGTGACAACTTGTGATTTTGTTCAACGTACGATTCATACAATCGGCGAAGGGAGCGAGTGGAGAGAGAGGGGGGAGATAAAGAGAGATAAGGAAGCAAGTCAAGAAGATTTCACATATTATGACATGTTTGTGTAAAGCATAATTCACAATTAGTTGAATAAATGGCTTAATATTAATGTAAATAAACGCTAAACAAATGCGAAATTGTTGTGTGGTTGCTTGCTACTGAAGATAGCTCAGAGATGAGAGTAAGTTTACCTCCTTAAATAATTAACAACAATCGTTTGTAATCTATATGCATATAACCGACGGTTATAAAATGAACGGTAGCTTTTCATTAAGTTTATAACTTAATTAAATTACAATAAAAACTAAAGTCGACTGAAGATAAATTAAAAAAAGTTTTTACTTTTTAATAAATTGAAAACTGAATCATCTGTTTTACTTTTCATTGGAATACTTGTTTTTTTTTTTTTTTTTTTAAAAAAATTTGATGTATATAGTTATATTTTAAATTAAAAAAAATTTTGCGGGCTTCTTAACGCTTATGTAATAGCTAGAATTTATAACTGATGCAACTTAAGCTGAAAGATAATAACACCGGTTTGCTTTTCAGCGAGTTTTATCATTATTAGCTTCATAAAAATTGTGTCTCTAACTAAAAACCGGTTAATATTTTTATTATGTATGTAAATATTCAAAGGTTCATAAATATTTATACATATATAAAACAAAAAAAAAAAACAAAAAAAAAAGGGAAAAGAAATAAGTAGAAAAGTTGCCTTGCCTTGTCTTTGGGTTGAACCTTTGATACGTAGTAAGAAAGTCATTCCCTGCCATTTATTACCATTAATACATAATTAACATAAACAATAATTCAAATGTTATTATTATTATTATTTTAATTTTAAACTAATGAATTGAATTCTTAGACTAAAAAAAAGAGACATTGAGCACTAGCAACACAGGCTATCGGCTCTCAAATGTTATTTTAGTAACAGGGCTCTTCTGTGATTGATAAAGTCTAGCATTTTCTATTTGGTGCTAATAATTTTCAGAAATAAATAACATTGAGTTAGAGTGTGATGTCGCTTAGCACGGGTCCTGTTTTCTCATTTCATAGTGTTAGCCGTGCTAGTCCTCTAATACGGAAACAATGGGAAGAAATAAAACGAATAAGAGAATTATATTGTCATGTCTTATAATAGTTCTCGTTAAAGAGTCTCTTATTACGTTAGTTACAGACCTGTTTGTTGTTTACATCGATTTTTATTCATAAAATGTGTACTTAATGTCAATAAAAATTGAAGTACAAGAGTTGTGTTTGCGTTGTCTTTTTAATCATTAAAATTTTTTATGGTATTGCGAGAAACTTCTTCTACGATGGACAAGCTTCAGAGTCGCGCAACTTTAGGCTAGTCCTAACCTTATCAAGCTACGCAATAATGCATGCATTTCAACCAGAGAGATAAGGCGTCTGCAGGCTTATGAAAATATTCGTGGCGTCGGAGGTGAAGATTTTTTATCGAAATCAATAGCACGTAAACGGTTTGCTCGTTTCGTAATACCCGTCGCTCTGGCCAACGAATCGTTAATAAGGTCTGAGCAATTCTTGAAAAAATTGCGAAAATTTGTTGCGTCTGTTATCTTAGAATATCGCTGGGAAACTAAGCATCGAATAGAAATCAATTTGGAACAGGTTGCATGTTTCAGAAACAAAGCTCGGTATTTGCTTACTACATGAATAAACAGCGAAAGATTTCATGGAGCAAATTTCTAGGGGAGCATCTGACTGCTGAAAAGAAACAAAATCGAATCTATTTTGAAGCAGTGAAAAAAAGGGAATTAAAGGGCAGGACGAATATGGAAATAATGTGCGAACAGATCGTGGCACATCGTGAAGCGGCATTAGCTATGGCAGAGTTCAGATTGATGCCATGTAAGATACTACTGTCTTATGGTAAAGTTGGAAGGCAATCGCGAACTTTGATTTGTAACTGAAACTTTTCTATTTTGATATTTTCTGCATATTCCGAGAATTGTTTGTATATACCACTCGTTTTCACATGTTCACATAATTCACATTATATTCGAAACATAGACCTCTTTATTAATTAATTAATAAAAATCCGGTAATCATCCGAGAAATCCAAGAATAAGCGTTAATTCAATTAATTTAACCAGTGATTGATATTTTGTGAACAAAAAAATTCATCCGTACACGAAATTCAAGTACACGACACCACGACAATCGAAGAAAACCGTTAACGTCACCTTAGTCTTTGAAGGACTTTGGCATGTTTTTCCCGATCTTGGCTTACCTTTTGCATGATGTTAGTTCCATAGCACTTCTATAGTCGTAGGTATGTAGATTAAATGAATTTTTTTTATTATATTCAACTTGGATGGGCGGTGAAATAAAAGATACCTCCCGGGATTGGGTATAGGGGTTTTTTAATGTGTTTTAAAAACATCTTTTTTTTTTTTTTAAATATATATAAAGAACAAATTTCCTGAATTACTATTCTATTGCCTCGTCTTCGATCAAAAGGAAAATTCTCAAAAATATGTGTTTCTTAAAGCTATCATAGTGGATTCTATCTTAAAAATGTCATGAAATTGTATTTACATTCCCGTCACAAATCCTCAGTGTTGAAGTTATGTCTGACTTTTAAAAGTCGCGAAAAACATTCCGAAGCCAAGGAAGGTTTTCGTTTGATTTGACGTCATCATAAGAGAGGACTTTTTAGGGGAGAAGCGATTGTAAATCTAATGTGCAGTGGAATTTTGCTACGGAAATATTTATAATATGTACAATTTATCAACGGAAGGATAGCATTACAATATCCGCTTTATCAAGCGATGCTTATGCGCAAGCAAAATCTAAATCAAATTTTACAAATCTATTACTGAGACGGAAGGGAGCGTAAAACATGTCGCTAAGCGCCTTTAAACCAAGGAGGGCAAGTGACAAACAAAAATCAATCTTTATTTTGAATATTTTCATTAAATATCAATAACACATATATTATATAGCATATCGAGCGCTTTTAAGAGGCAGGTGTTCAGATATTATCGTTGTTTTTTTAATGTTTGTGTTCTTGCTATAAATTGGTTTCAATTATTATAAACAACTGTTGCTATAGACTATAATCGCATTTAATACTTTGTAGACGGAAGCAAAGCAATATTTTCTTTAAAAAAAATTTTTAGAACAAAATGAAATATTGCTTTTCTATAATGTTCGATTGGCATTGTATATTTTTGGGGTTTTCGTCCGAGCACCCATTAAATATCTATTCAAATTTTTCATCGTTGTGCCTGTTGTAGTTGTAGAATAGCGGGAAAGCCTCTGCAAACCAGCGTTTTTCTCAGAGTGCGTCCTCGGATCGAGTTGGCCCATTTGCAAAGCAAGCGTAGGTATCAAGAACTTCCAATGTATTTCCCAAACATCTTGATTTGTGCAAGTAGATAAAGATGCCTAGATCGATTCAGAATTTCATATGTACATTTTACAAGATCTTTACCGCTTCCTTCTGGGTGCTGCAAACGTATGGTAAAATGAATATACCTCCTTCATTGAGTAGTTGGTAAGAAAAAGGAAAAACGGAAGCTATAATATATATGTTTCCTACGTATGTTTATTGCAAAATACTTTGTTAACTATGTTATTTGGTTATCTGGTTTGTAGCCAGCGTCTTAGTTTGTTCTATAAAGCATTTTTATTCGGTGTTAACCTAAACACTGTGCTTTACTATGGGCATTGTTATAGACGTGGACTCTTTCATTCAATGCTGATCAAGATAATATACATATTTTATAGAACTCTAATAGATAGAATTGTTTGTTACAAACGGAAGGAGAAATTCAGTATTGCTTAAGCTGTCAGCGGCGAGAATAAATAAAAAAAACAATAGTTCCGTATTGGAGGACCATTTACTTCCGCAAAACTATTAATAAAAAAATTTCATAGAAAATATTATTGTACGACGGATTCTGTAGGTATTAAAGCTAAACGTGAGAGATAGATAAATCAACGATAATTGTTTTGGATTAGCGCAATTAATCATGAATTTATGGTAACGAATAAAAGTATTTAGCGGATGAATGTTTTCCATGCGCACGCTTATCCGAACTATTATAAGCATAGCTGCTTTCATATAGAAAAAGTAACTGATATACATATGTCGGGATTTGATATATATACATATATATGATTGAACATATACGACACAAAATATCGCCTGCAGATTACTAACGCTAGAACCTTCGTCTTAAACCGAATATAATATCTTTTTCGTTGTGTTAGCGATCTTCTCTTTCGTGAACTATTAAAAAAAGTTTGCATTTAAAACAAGTAGCAACGTTACAGTCTGACAATCCCGATCATTAGATACCCTACACCCCGTTGCCTATTACAGTTATGCACTCGGTTTCGGTTATACCAAAAATTACACATTATTTTCCTGTAAACGTATACTTTTCACGAAAGCCACTTACCCAAAACATCTTAACAATATGACATAATCCAAATTTTGTAAACTCCAGTTACTTCCGAAAAATTTTCATATTTTTTAGTTTCCGTCATAGAATACTAGAGATTAGACTTTCTCACCACATAAAGGCTTGATTTTCAAGATAATCACTGTGTTTGTTCGGGCCTAAAAAATAGACTTATATGGTCCAAATTCGCCGCCGTTAATTTCTTTGTTCAACTGTTACTATAGGCTAATTTTCATCGCAAAATATTAAAAATTAAATCTTTTTCTAAAAGGCTTACAATTCGTAAGATCCAAGAAGTAAACCCATTTACCTCAAATTTGGTCCACTTAATGTTTATGCGAAATTACAAACAAGAACAAATTTTCATCATAAAACATTCACTATTAAGCCCTTGTTGCATAAAAGGACTTAAATTTTCTGAGAACCCTAACATGCGGTTGTATCCAAAAAATAGGCCTACGTGGTCCAAATTCAGCAAGTTTGCCTTCTTTGTGAATTTATTATTACAATAAAATTTATACCCTGAAATATTGATTCAGTTTTCGTGGAAACGCTTATGGGAGAGGGAAGGGTTCAACAAATTGCTCCGGGTAAGGCAAATATTTCATAGTAATTTAGAATGTCCAAACACAATTACATAGCGAGTTTTGTCGCGAAATTTTGATAACTACAATCATTTTCCATATAACGACTTGTTAAATTTTCCTTTCCCCTAAGTCGCACAAGTAGATAAGTGACGTATGTA